CGCCTCTCTGACCAGTTTCCTCCTGACTCTTTCATCCAGTTTGGAGCGACGTCCTGATCCAGGAAGAGTCTGTGTTGTACCAAATACCTTTCAATTCTTAATAACAGACTTCTAGGCATTGATAAAGCGAAGCCTTTGGAATTTTTTTGTATCCATCTCCTGACTCGTGCCTGTTCTCAACTTTATCCCGGAAATCTTTTGACAATGCCTTGCCACCCATAGTTGATTGTTTGCTTCAGTTGCACTACCAAGGACTGAAATGCTCCAGGAAAGCTCTTGTCATACTGAGCTAATCAAAATGTCCACAGCTGATCACAGTTGAAAGTCAATTGGCTTTGTGTGCCATTGAGAAGGTGATTAGCTACACCTGATTGAGTTTACAAGTCATTTTTAGGAGGGGGTGATCCTTTTTCCAAATCTCTGTTTTTATTTATTTATTTATTTTTTTCTGATATGTTGGTGTTATATCTTTCACTAGCATGTTATAAGTTATACAGAGTAAATATAGCTGGATAAAACAAAAACTGTGTCCGTCTTCATTTCAGGCTGCAAAGCAACAAAATTTGATTATTTTAAAGGGGGGTGATTCTTTTCTGTACCCACTGTAAATAGTTTGTTAGTAGCAAGTCATGTTAATAAACAGTCTACAAACATGAATAACATATAAATTGATGTTCAGATGGTTTCCACTTTAGAATTAAATTTACCAATAGCCCAAATCAGTGCCCAAATGGTGAATTAGCATTGTTCATCCTTTGTGTGTTAGCTGCTACATAAACTTATGTGTACATATGTAGTATAAATTAGCATTACAATAAATAAATAAATAAATAAATAAATAAAGCTATTTACTGCCATAGTTCATTGGTAGTTCATGTTAACTAATTAATGTGAAGAGATGCATTAGTATATGCGTAAGTTAACATTAACAAAAAATTAAGTAATCCCGAACAGTGGTGTTGTTCATTGTTAGTTCATGTTAACTAATGCATTAACTAATGCTAACTAATACAACCTTATTGTAAAATGTTACCTAAATTATTTAGTGATTCAAAAATACTCACTTCTATATTCACTCTTTGTTCTAAACAAATCATCATTTTGAATGAATTGATTGAGTAAATGATTCAGTGACCTATGTATTATAACTGTGGTTATAATTAGGCGCATTACAAGGTGCATTACAAGGCATAATTATTGCATTAAGACTACATTTATAATGCATTATATAAAGACTTTAAGTAAAGTGGTTAAGCCAACTATTGGACAACAATGTTCAGTACATCACAAAAATTACAACAACAAAAAAACAAGGTGCATTACAAGGCATAATTATTGCATTAAGACTACATTTATAATGCATTATATAAAGACTTTAAGCAAAGTGGTTAAGCCAACTATTGGACAACAATGTTCAGTACATCACAAAAATTACAACAACAAAAATTTTTTTTTATTTATTAGGCATAAAATGTATTTGACATGATCAACAAACAAAAGACAATGACAACACAGCAGTCTCACACGAGTGACAGAACCTCTCAGACTGGCCCAGCTTCATTTTTGTTGTTGAGCCCTGCTGCATATGGTTTATAAAATGGTAAGGGCAGCACAGATAATTAATTCACAGAAAATGAATTTCCTCCATCTGTTTAGTTCAAGGCTTTGGGAGTGTAGAACACCCTAAGATGTCCTCTGCTGAAACTCCCCCTTGCGCTATGCTGCAGTCTTTCAGAGGCAGAGCATTGCCTGTACTGTCTCATTGAAAGTATTAATTTTGGTCCAATAATGGATGAATCTCCTCCAGGACATGAACTCGCATGTTTCCTCCCTCCCGAAAGAGCACAGAGCCTTTTTACTTTGGGCAACAAGTCATGCGAGCATCTTTGCCCTTTCAAAACTTACATAAATCATAATTTACAGCCTGAAAAAAGCCATACATGTGTATGTGTGCTACAAAAAGCCTTTCAGAGGTGTAAAACGTTCCTCTTTCCTTTTGTTTTCCCTACGGGCGCTTTTGTGTTAGGTGGTGTGTGTGGTGAAAAATTTCAAAGGGAAGCCCTTACTGGGTGAGATACCGCCGGAGGAGAGTGTGTCCAGTGGTCCCATGATCACTCAGCCCAGGATGGAGCACACTATGGAGAAATACATAGCGTCCCAGGTATTCAAACACAAGCATTCTTGTACACTAGAACGTACACTAAAACACCTTGTTATTGTGGCTGGTTTCTAAAATTTCATTATTAACTGTACACTGTAAAATATTTTTCAAAGTTGAAAATAAAGATTTTCAAGCAGCAGTTCAGATTTTTGTATTCACTATGGTGTTTATCAAACAACACCAGATACAAGAGTATAAAGACACAAGATAGCAGGTTCTGGATTTTTTCTCTGATATTCGCTGTCACTTTGCAAAATAGTCCATTCGTAAGCGCCACTAAGTCGTAGTTTCATGTAACAGCAGCAGCTCTGGGCATGCGACCAAAAACATGAATCTGATTGGTTGGCCAGTATTCTTCACAGTGTGATAGAATGGAGATTAGAATTAAAATCTTTAACGCACCAGTTTTTGTGCACCAAATATTTGTCTTGGCTGTTCACATCAACAACAATAACTGTAAAAATACTGGTAACGATAACTATATTAACATCCACACCAACGGACATTAACATTCTGTTTATATTAAGTGCGTGCTGCAGTTACTCTTTGCAAATTCTTTAAAGATGATGTATTCTGATTGACTGTCATTATTTTTTTTTCATCCATCAGCTGGAAAAAATCATTCTGAAACTTATTCTGAAATTGATTCTAGCGACATTGTTCCTCTGTGCCAGTATCGTTACAGTTGTGGTGGGTGTGGACTTTGACTTTTATAGTTATCATAGTTACTGTCCGTGGTGTGAAGGGCCTTAACTCTAAGATAAGGTTCTTACATATGGCTCATACAAGATCATTCATCCGCACTTGAAAAATTATCAAAACAACATTTCAGCTTTATGTGGGTCATTTTTTGACTTTGCCTGTGGCAGTGTTTAGTTTTTAACTCAATCTCAGTTCACTTCAGTTACATTTATAGAATAATAAAATACTTTTGATGACAGCCATCACATTGAACAGCCTTTGGATACTGAATATTATGTTCTGAATGTTAAATGTTCTTCCCTAGTAAATCCCATTATTTCTTTTCAGTATGTTCATTCGGCTGCTTTGCCTCAGGCAGGAATTTCTTGTATCTGTGTCACAAGAGATCAGAGTTAATCAGTGGGTTTATCTTCCAGTCTCGGAAAAAATAGGCACATATAGCTGAATATATCACTTCTACATGCTGATTCTGAACTAAAATGTTGGATTACACTTGCACACCTTTTTTAATGTTGTTGTTTATTTCCAGGTTTACAAGCATATGATTTTAAATCCCATGTTTTCCACTTCACCTTCCATCCTCAATATCATCCACTGACTAATGTTTATACCTTGCTGTCCACAGATCAGATATACACTGCTGATAGTTTCAGTATTCAACACCATTGTTCAGCAGGGCTGCCATACAATATTCAACAGGTAGTTGGTCCCCTTGAGGTCATGAACCCACAGTCTGGTAGCAGATATTGTCGCCTTTGAAGTCCATTATGCATCACAATCAACAGGAGTCCCACCCATTTTTGATTCATAGTTCAATATGACGTCCCAGGATTCAGTTTGGATTCATATAAGGGTGAGCCCAGGGGCTCCGTGAGGCAGTTAATCAAAATTACGTGTTAAGCCCAAGACATACAGTGTGCACCTGCAATGCATGGCTAGCATTCACACCACACTTGGTTATTTCAAGGCTATGTCATTAATCTTTAAGGTAGTTATTACTTATCCCCACAGCCTTAGAAAAATGTGTGCTTGGTCTTTAACTTTGCAATGAAATGGAGAGATAGAAAAGCAACTCATGCTCAAGTGACTTTAACACTCCTTGAGTCTCAAACACCAAAAATCTTTAAAAATCAAGTTTAAAACAAGTACCAAATTCTTAGGAATGTAATATTTTTAGTCACGTTGTTTTCATATGGTTTTGAATTTCTTATACCATTTATTAAGAACTTTTCAACTTAAAATAGAGTAAAAAGTACCATATTTACCATATAATGTAACATTATTTTTACACCTTAATATATTTGCATATCTTAAAGAAACAGTACACCCAAAAGTTAAAATTTAATTTCAATGTACTCATCCTGAGGCCATCCAAGATGTAGATGAATTTGTTTCCTCATCAGAACAGATTTGGAAAAAAATTAGCATTACATCACTTGCTCACCAATGGATCCTCTGCAGTGAATGGGTGCCGTCAGAGTTCAAACAGATAAAAACAACACAATAATTCACAAGACACCATGTGGTTAAATACAATTTTTGTGATCTTATGATATTAGGACAGTTGTATCACCCTGACATTTCAGAGCTGATGCTGAGAAATATTTTAATTCAGACATCAAAAACATGGTCAGCATGTCATATTATACAGTACACCTCATATTGAAATGATTGTATGTATGAATTGTATTTTAATTAGGGCTGTCAACGTTAACGCGTTAATGCATGCGATTAATTTTACCAGTGAATTATTCATTCCAGTGTGTTTCGCTTTTAAACACAAGCTCTGTCATATTCTGTGATTGTTTCTGAAGAGCGCGAGCCCTCACACGTCCCACTGTGTGACGTACAGACTGAACGGATTGTCAACACAACACATACAAACTATGTTTTCTCAACTGGATAACCAGTCTCTCACTAGTAAAGTTTTGATGGATGAAGACTGCAATCAAGGTAAAGATGATTGCGGTGGCATACAGGAGTCGTACAGTAAGCACGCGTGAGTCCATTATAATCATGCGTGTATGAGCTGATGCACTGATCGCACATTGTATTTATGCACAGGCATAGACATTTCCGTACATTCACGTTGTTTCCACACACATTCGTGATAATGTTTTGATTTGTCATGTGTATGTTGCTGTGTGTTTTTTTAGCATTTTTTTTCTTTCATATATGCTTATATGGGCTCCTTATATCATTTGGTTCTTTGGTGTCCTTTTGGAGTTTCATTTTGGAGTCCCCTTTTGGAAAGACATCTAAATTTATCTTGAAAAAAGCTACAGATTTTTGAGAATCACCCTTCAATCTTTTGGTTTACTTTGCTGGATATAGCAAATGATGACAAAATAAACATTTGAAACAAGGTATATGGTCTCTGCTTAATTTCATGAAGTGTGCAATTAATCGCGATTAATCACAGAAAAAGGGTGTGATTAATTAGATAAAAAATTGTAATCGATTGACAGCCCTAATTTTAATGTTTTTTTTTTAAATTAATTTTACAGATTCAGACAACAAATGAGTGTGATGTGATTGGCCTAGATGTTAAACTGTATTTTTTGTTTGATTTTCAGAATCCCATCACCTATGCTGAGATCACATGACAGTGAAAAGCCCACTAGCCAGAATGCTGTGGATATGTTGCTGCTCTCCGATGCGACTTTTTACTTTGAGTCCAATGTCAATATGTGCTATTTTTACACTTCTATTTTCAAGTGTGGGGAAAAAGTTGTCTATACCTTGTCCTCCTTTTTTTTTTTTTTTTTTAAATACTGTAGTTAGGGTAGGGTCGCATCCCTACTTTTATTCAAACATATTACTGTTAGCATTTTTTTTTTGTGATTGAATATACAGGGTATGGAGTGAATGTGGAAATGCAACATGGTGTCCGATGAAATGTATAATGTATAACATATCCTGATGTACAATTTACAACTGTGAGTCCATTGTTGAATTTTGAAGAAGTTTCTGTCTGACAAGAATTATTGTTGTTGATCCTCATAGAAATCAGGTTCTTCTATGATTTTGTCTGATGCTGGTTTTGTAATTCTTTCTGTAATTTTCTTTCCTGCCATAACATATCACATAAACACAACACATTTTCAGAAAAGCAGACTGTTTCAGCATTGCATCAGATTTTATTCTATGTATTTTAAAGCATGTTTAAATCGCCAATAGGTTTTAGTTATGTTACAGTCATGAATTATGATATTTTCTAGTGGAAACAATATTGTGGGAGGGTCATTTTCATTCTAGCGAGCATCTGATTGGTCAAAACCCAGTGTAGTACAGGATGAGTCATCAATATTTTTGTTCAGTTTTCCAGAAACTTTTAGTAGCAATTACATGGTCTCAATAAACTTAAAAAAATCAATTTTTGATTTCACAGAGTCTATAAAGTGGGCTGATGTGGGCATGAAGTGATAAGCAGAAATAATTATTGATTTTGGTGTCATTATGGCAGAGCACCTTGGGCAGAGCTGATGGATTTAATTGTGACTGGCAATTGATTACAAGACTCACAAAGATTAGATGCTGAGGCTTTTGCCCATAGAGGCTGCTAGGTTGTGTATGAAGGATCACTTTGTGTGCTTTAACGTTGCCAGTGTGTGTGTGTGTGTGTGTGTGTGAGTGTGTGCATGTTTGTGCTTATTTGTGAGTCTGCCCTTGATGTCGCCTCTGAGAGAACGCAGTCTCTAGTGGCTTAGAGAAGGCCGTTTGTTTTCTTGGCAGAGCTGGAATAATACCTGTACCTGTGAAAGAGAGAGAGAAAGAGATGGAAAGAAAGAAACCTTCATTGTTTGGAAAACAGTGTATCTCAGTCGTTTCATACAGATATAATGACAATATTTGCATTAGGATACATTTGCGTTTTCATAATCATATGTGTTTTTATTGTATCAGACCTCACAGCATCTAAGGTCTGCAGTGTTGAATTGATATTCTGCAGAGTTTTACACCATACTGAGCATATGTTTGATCTCTCACTGGCCAATGATGAGATTTGATTTTCAAATTCATGCTTGAATACATTATTAAATACCATGTCTCCTAATGATGTAAATCATTTATCCAATTCATCTCAATTCACAGTAGTAGTGCTACAGAACATCCTGAACCCTTTTATGTCCAGTGTTTGTGTCATTAGTTGTGAATATAACTTTTTAGAGAGTTTTTGGCTGGCTCACTGAGGGTTTTGTAACGCACTCTTTGTAAAACTGCTTTGTGATTGTGAAAGTGCTATATAAATTGAATTTACAATTATTCGGAAAGAGCTACTGCATTACCTGCACATTGACTTTAATTCAGGGTTATTTCTAGTGACAGTTGTGTGTTTTTTCCACCCAAAAGAGTTGGGAAAAAATGCACATTGGAATGGGATAAGAATATACATTTGAGATTATGTTCCAGTCATGAAAGCAATGAGGTAACTCAAGTCCGCTCTAAGATTTTGTTTTTCCTAAGAGGTTTTTTTTTTTTTTCCGAAAAAGCCTGAAATATTTTTATAACCATATTGTATGTATGTTGGACAGCATGGTCTGGCAATGACCTCAGAGACTGAATTGGAAAGGAAAGCAGATCTTCCCTAAGCCCAAGATGTCAAACAGTAATAAAATATTTGCCCTCAGACTCAGTCATTCTGTATCTTTTCTGTATTATGATTATATGATTTTTTTTTTAAATAATTTTTGCAATTTTTACAATATTTCATTTGAAGATACATTTTCTTATTTTAGATTTATTTACTGTTTACTGAAATTTACTGTTGTGTAAAAAAAATGTGTTCATTAACGTCAGGGCATTATGATATAGCTAAAATAAAAACCAAATATTTTTAGCCCTTTGACAATATTCAGTATATATCTTATTTATGCATTTGCTATAAAAATGCTAAAATGGGTGCTTTTTGTTAAATCCAATGGAATAGTTACATTTAAATCCTAGTTAAATTTTTTAATTAAAAAAACATATATTTACAAAAGAAATGTTGCTGGTTGTGAAATTTAGAGTTGACCTAAGACGCATTGGGAAACTTGATGATCAAAAACACATAAAAATCATCATCATCATCATCATCATCAAAAAACAAAACAAAAAAAACATCATGATGACAGTGTTAGTTTTATATTGGGGGGAAAATCATTAGTTATTGTATTTCATACAGCTGTTTAGCATGCAGCAAAATAACTGTAAGATCAAAAATCTGAATGTTTCTAGTGATCTTGTTAATTATATGCTGTTTCAGTACTTATGTTTCTTTGATGTCTTTAAATGTTTTAGTGTAGTTATCATCCATTTCAGTCAGGCTGGCCTTTTGTAACTATTACAGGGATGTGAGGTTCTTTACATTGCTCAAAATGTTACATTGCTAAGAGCTCTCAGTCTGTATCTGTCTTCCTGACAATAACAAACATTCACATCACATATGTTGAGATATGTAGGAAGATGTTGTTCTTTGGAATGCATGCTGTGTTTGTTCTGGGTTCATCAGTTCTCTGGTCATGTATCAGACACAGAGTGGCTGGTCCAAGCATAAGGATGCTGGAGTTCAGGGGTCTTCCTGGACTTCCTGCTTTCATCTCCTCCATTAATGGTGCTCATGTGTGGTGGATGAGTCCCAGTGCCCACCACCTCCCCTGTACAGTGCAAGTCTCCCATGGACAAAATGTAAATTAAAAATGCATTGGATGTTTCGAATGACATTTCAAGAACTCTATACCCAGGGGGAATCTATCTTGATTTCATTTCTGAAGATTTCATTCCTTTCTTTCTTTCTTTCTTTCTTTCTTTCTTTCTTTCTTTCTTTCTTTCTTTAAATAAACATAATTAAAGAAGAACTTGACTCAAGTACAAACACGGTCAGTGTCCAGTCTATAAACAACAATATTAAAAAGTAAAACAACTATAAAATCATCTGCAATTGAATTTAATGCGGTACAAGTGCTTATGTCAGGTTTCAGGATATTGGTTTCAGTAAACATCTGGAGTGTCCAATAGAATCTAATATAGTCAGAATATTGAGAAAATGATCAAGAGAAGATTAAACAGGTTGCTTTGCAATAAAAAAAAAAAATCAGTTGTCGTCTAATTCAGTTTCAAAAGCTTAATGTTTTTGTTTTTATATATTTGGAAGACATATTTGATGCCAAATTGGCTTACAGCTACTTTCACTTGGGTGCATGTTTGACTCTCAATTCAGTAAAAGTATGACACTGTACCCAAACTTCAACTTTTTGTGCTCCCCCGGCATTAAATAAAAATATTTTTTTAAACTCAGGCAAAACTAATTGACATTTTACATATTTAATAAATTAATGTGGCCTTGACTGTTCTGCATCAGAGGGGAGAATAAATGAGGAAAAATCTTGGCCTGTCTATATTCAACAGTGTCACTTTCACATTTTCACATGATTTTATTCCCTTACGAAAAAGAAGTTTATTCAAGTGTATTCAACTAAAAAATAGGAAAGTATACTTTTAGTCTACTTTTTATGTACTTCTCAGAAATGGGCCTTATGTACTTCTCAGAAATATACTTAAAATGACATTTAAGTATACTTGACTTGTACTTAGAAAAAGTCTAAATATATCCTGTTACAGGTCCAGTGTTCCGCCCGCGGTACACTACATACTTTGAGGGTTAACTTTGTGAAACACACACACAAAAAAAAAAAAAGGTAAACGTGTCATATATCTTTGGAAAGCTGAGATTCTTGTGATTCGAATGATACAAACATTTTTGATATTTTAAGATACAATCAACACAGCAGGTACAATCAGTGTCTTTGTCAGACCAACAACAACCAAATAAACAATAACAAAACTGAAGGAACTCACCTATGAAGCCTCTTGTTAGTCCACTAGTTCATTACATTGCAACAAAAATGGTGTAGTTACACTGTAAAGGGTCCAGACTATCCAATTCAGTGAAATATTTAGTCCATAACACATTTATATGTTGATAAACATCCACGGAGTGTAGGAGTATCATTTCAGATTAGCCGACGGAGCGCTCAAAGCTTCGGCGCATTCTGAAGTAGGCATCTGTTTACAAAAAAAAATGTAGGCGGAATTTTTATTTTATTTTTCAGTGTGTTCAAAGTTCTATTACTCAATTTATTTTTCAGTGTTTTCAAAGTTCTATTACTCAATACCAATAAGACTGACAGTGATTCTGACCAAAACCATGTATGTACTCCAAATGGTTCAAGAACAGCATGCAATTTACTTTGGGTATGCCTTTTTTAGGCGCTTTAGGCAAATTTTACAGGAACGCTAAAGGGATATTTTAGCTATAATTTTGCTGCTAGAATCCGTGTTTTCATTGTTATACTGTAGGGGCCGCTAGTACACATCTTCTGTACAGAATTTCCAAAAAACACAAGTGAAGAAGAAACCGAAACAACAGATGCTTCCACATGTATTCTAACACGATCAACAGACATAAAACAGCATCAAAACTATGTAACATTATGGAATAAAATGTCGACCAATGAAGAGGTACTAATGACTGTCAAGCTTTGGGGTGTTGATCGACTTTATCTACGTTTTGATTATCATTCTGAATCCAATTCATAGTCTTTTTCAGCTTTTTGTTCAAAATGTTGTTTATTTCTTTATTTTTTATTTATGAAACTTATCCACATTCAAGTGTTTAAAAAAAGAATGCATGAAGCTAGAATAAAATGTTTTTGTTTACAAACAGATACCCTGTTCTTTTGATGTTTTGTATGTTCAGATATTCATGTAACAAAATATATACAAATTAATACCTAACTAGGGTCTTAGTAGTATACTTAAAGTATGATGTAAAGTTCACTTAAAGAAACGAGTATACTTGCAGTATAAAACTACTAAACTAGTAGTTTACTGAGACTATACTTCAAAGTGTACTAAAAATGCTACTACAAGTATTTAATTAGTAAACTATCAGTATACCTATAAGTTCACTTTTAGCATAGTTGCAGTACAAGCTAAAAATATTGATGTAAACTAGTTGTGTACTCAAAGTTTACTACTGTTATACTTAAAGTATACTTAAAAGTATACTTTTATATGCTAGAAAGTGGGCCAATTTAGTCTCAAGGAGTATTGAAATAGTACACTTACAAGTATACTACTAGTACACTGATATTTGTATACTTACTACATAAAGTAAACTTAAAAATATACTTGAACTTTACTTAAATATACTTACTAAAATAAACTTGAAGTATACTACTTTTTGGTAAGGGATTGCTAGGATTCATTGCACTGAATCACCCACTAGGTCAGTTAATGACCTTGCAAGGAGGTGTGGAGCTGATCTCAGATCAGTTTTGCAGAAAAACAATGTGTATGTTCTGATCTCTTCATGAGTAACTCGCACTCTGACCTTGAGAAAGTTTCTTGATGTGTCAGTCAGCCGCAGTGTCTCTTTCATCCTTGACTGTTCTCCATTAATTTGCAGACCACATAGCAGAGAACTATACACAGGCATATATATCTCATATTCTATGTGTGAAGTTCTCGTCTGTGAGTGAGTAAGGAGTTCAGTCTGTGCGAGCATGTGCTGAGTGATAAGCACTAACACCCATCTACACTGCTAGTGACAAACTTGAACACTCCCATTATTTTATTTTATTTTATTTTTGTCCTTCTTTTTGCTACTCTGACCAATATGGAAGTCATAGATCTGGAGTTTGAGGCTTCAGCAACATGTTTATCTGTGATTAGGTCAGGATTAGGCTAAGGATATTGATCCAGAAACATGTTTTTCCTGGTTAAATCACAAAGCATGACACAAACACACAGCAGAGTGAGGTGAATAACAAACACACATCTGCCAATGACAGCTTTGCACTAAGGACTCACAGCACCGATGCTTCAGCAGCCATGTGTACAGTATGCACACTTTCATCGGGGCGCAATAATTGGATCTTTTCCTTTGCTGAGACACAAACTCTGCATTGTGTGAAGCTGCACTTGATTTGACACAAATCCAAACCCATTACATTTTTTTTTATCTGGCTGAGGACCTGAAAACAGCACAATGTTTAGTTTTACAAATGACCAGTGTAATTGCATTTGGTATAAATTTAGAGCTGGTTCCTCTTGTGTTGTGTCTATTTTTAAAAGCAGAGCCAGTGTATATATAGGTTAGAGTAGAATAAAATAAAACAAACAAGTTAAAATAAAAATGGACACCTAATCTATCACCTTTAGAAAATTACCAACAAATAGCCAACAAATAATGTGCATTCATTTATTGAATACATTTAAGACCAGAGAAAAACCTCATTGCTGCAGGAAATGCTTGAATATACCAGAGTTGGTGTGCTGCTAGCATTTTATTATTTATTATCATTAATAATTAAGTCTAAATATTAGAGGCTGTGTCTGAAGAACTGAAATAAACATATGATTTGTCTAATCAGTTTCAGCATCAGCAACCCAAGTACACATAGTGTATTTCTACATGACGTGTAATATCCAAACCATTTAATAATATTTTTACCATTTAATTCCTGAGGAGCTTATACTGCTGTAATTCTTTAAATGAAATATGATGTAAGCGGGGTGCAACTGACATTCTGTTAGCTAAATGCATA